TTTGGCGGGAAAATCGCTAACTCGAGAACCAGAAAAGCTAGAAAGCTGAAATTTTCGGATTATGTTTCCAGTCCAATTAGAGCTCAAAGATTTCAAATTTAGTCCCGGGGAGTTCGTAGTCTCTGCGTACGGCCCCCCGAGGATTCCTGGCGCGAAAATCGCTTGCTCGGGAACCAAGAAAGCTGGGAGGCTGAAAGTTTCAGGAAATGTTCCCTACTTATCTACAACTTTAAATTATCAAATTCAGCCCCCCGCCACACGTGGTTGCCACGTACGGCCTCGTGAAAATTTTTGGTGGGAAAATGAATAACTCCAGAACCAGGGAAGCTGGGCGGCTGAAATTTTCAGGAAATGATCCCAACTCATCTGCAACTGCAATTTACCAAATTCAGCCCCCAGTGTGCGGGGCTGCACGTACACCCCCGTGAAAGTTTTAGCGGGAAAATGAATAACTCCAGAACTAGGGAAGCTGGGAGGCTGAAACTTTCAGGAAATGTTCTCAACTCATCTACAACTTGAATTTATCAAATTCAGCTTCCTCTCGTGCGTGGTGGCTGCGCGCGGCCCCGTGAAATTTTTTAGCTGCAATTTCGGTAACTCGGGAACTGAGAAAGCTGGGAACCTGGGATTTCAAGGGAATTTTCCCTCTCCAACTATAGCGTGGATAATTAAGTTCCCGAAATTCGAGGACCAGTATGTACAAGAGGTTTCTAGTTAGTGGAACTTCGAGTAATCTTATTACAGCACGAAACACTGCAAAAACGCATGATCGCACGGGCCCCCCAGTGCACGTCGCCAATGACCTCTTTCCCGAATTGACAATTTTTCCGTAAAAATTTTCACGCGCCGGTACGTGAGTACCGGACATTTTTAAGGAGCTGAATTTGAAATCTTTTGATCGTACATGAATGGGAAATATTCTCCTAACGTTTCAGTTTCTAGCTTTTTTCGTTCTCGGGTTAATGGTTTTCGCGCCAAAAATTTCCACGTGCGCGAATGTGGGCTCCGGGCGCTTCTAAACGCCTGATTTTGGTTGTATGTGAGTAGGGAACATTCCCCTAAAGTTTCAGCTTTCTGGCTTTTCTCG